CCCCCCCCCTCAGCCCACTCCGTGGTCCCCGCAGAGCCCCTGGAGGGTAGAGGGCCAGCCTTGGGGTGTGGTCCGGGCGGAGTCAATGTGAGGTCACAGCGGGTGGGAGGAAGGCGGCAGGGACAGCTGTGGGGCCCTTCGTTCTGCGGTCGTTCGTTCCTGGCCTTCTCTGTAGGTCCCCAGAGGTCGGCTGTCGGCTGGGGGCACATACCCCACCCCACCCCCACCCCCCACTGGGCTGGAGCCAAGGTGGGAAACCTGGGTGCCGGGAGAGGGGACAGGCAGGGCACTGTAGCTGCTCCAGCCAGTAGCATGTGGGGGGGGGGGGGGAATGGCAGGAGGAGCTGAGGGACCCAGGTCACCCACTAGCCTGAGGCCTGCCCAGCACTGTCTGGCTGGCGGTGGGAAGGTGAGCCCAGCAGAGCCTGACGCTTCCTCCATCTGCTTGGGGGCCCAGGGAGCCCGGGACGTGCAGACAAGCAGGCCGAGGGGCTGGACATGGACAGCCGGAAGCATTTGGCTAATGCCTCGCTGGGGAAGAAGTCGGGGCTGCCGCTGCCCCAAGAGCTCGGGCAGCCCCCTCCCCCTGTGAGTGCGACCACGGCTTGGGGCCAGCCCGGTGCCCAGAGCGGAGCGCAACAGGTACTGCAGACTCAGGACTGGGTAAGCGGGACCCCAGAACTGGCTTTGCAGGTGGGTTGGTCGCAGCTTGCGGTAGAAGGGGCTCCTCAAGCCTCACGGAGGGCCGAATCGCACCTGATGGGAGGCACACGGTGTCCGCTGGGCGGCCACCATACTGTCTGTTTCTGCTGGGCTTGTCGGAGGGGCCTGCCTCAGTCTGCCCCAGCATCGCACCCTGGGCCGAGAGGGCGGCCCCCCGACAGCCACCCTGTGAGCAGGCAGGCAGGCAGGCAGGCAGCGGGGTTTGTCCCCAAACCGTAACCAAAATGTCGCTGGAGCCTCTGCCTGTGATGGCCCCGAACTGGAGGCATCTGTCTGTCCCCGACCTCATGCCGAGCAGGTGAGCAGCTGCCTGCCAGGTTCCAGGAGCCATGACGGGGGGCCAGGGCGCTGCCGCCCCAGCCCCAGGGGGTGCTTCAGGAGCAGAGGAGCCAGACCCCCGGAGGTTCTGTGTGGCTGCCTGTGCGCCAGGGTCGGACTCAGCAGGGTGCTTCCCAGGTGTGACCGGCTCGGCAGTGTGGTGAGCGGGAGCCTGTCAGGCTGTGCACTTGGGTCTGTGTGCATGCGCACTTGCTGCGGCCGAAGGTTTACATAAAAAGTTGGCGGGAGAAGGGAAGCGGGCTCCCTCCCGGAGCTGCCGCCGTGGCCCCCACCCGAGTGCCTGTGAGGGTCCTGGGGGGCAGGCAGGCAGACCCCCCGGTGTGGGGCTGACTCTCGGGACGGGCTGTCCGGGACTTAAACACACAGACGTGTCACTGCCACGAGGAGGGCGTGACTCGGGAGCCTGCGTCCCGAATGGGCGGTGGGGACTTGGGGGCACACTGGCAGCTCTTGGGCAGAGGCCACCGCTCGAGTGTGAGGTTCAGAGAGGCGGGCGGGCAGGGGCCGAGGGGGCAGCAGGGGAGCGGGGAAAGAACCGCCCAGCGGGAGGTGGCCAGGGGAGGGGGAGGGGAGCTGGGCCGAGGCCGGAGGAGGGCACAGATGCATCTCTGCAGACCTCCGGTTTTCTGGTTTGGGGGCACTGCCTCCCGCGTTGTCCTGCCGCTGCCCTCCTCTGCTTCAGCCCCTGGGGAACGTCAGCTGCCCACTGTGGTCTTGAGGGGCTACTCTGTGTCGACGTCTTGCCGGGTGTCCCTTCTCTTTGTTCCCCCCAGTGCGGAGTGCTCTTCCTCCAGACCTTCCCATGCCAGCCTCCCAGGGAGCCTCCCGCCTGGCAGACGTCAGTCAGCCTCAGCACTCCTCTCGTCTCTGTGTCATCCCCTCCCGAGCCCCACAGAACCGCCTTCATCCGCAGGGGTCAGCACGGTCCCCGTCGCCCCGCATGGTAATGACATGCCCGCAAGAGGTCATTGACCTCAAGGTGGGACCGAGGTCTAATGAGACTTCCCCTGATGGAGGGTCTGCCGCCACCCAGCCTCTCCCCGAGGGCCGGGCCGGCTGACGCACGCCTGCTTCCCAACAATCTCGCTGAAATGACCACCGGACAGAACGGGATGGGAGGGCTGGCCGACAGGAGTCACCTTGTGGTGGCGGATCCCAGCTTGGGCAGAGAAAGAGGGCCCGCTCCGGGCTGTGAGATGGGAGGCAGCAGAAACAGGTCGCTGCCCCAGCCCCCGAGCCCTAGTCCACGTGTGCCCTGTGAAATAGAAGTAATGGCCAAGGGTACCGTACGTTTGAAGAAAACCTCTGTCCCGCAGAAGGGCAGGACAGCTAGGGGAAAAAGGACCCAGAAGAGCCCCAGCAGTAGCTGTGTCACCATCCTCACGGTGACCTGTGCCATCTTGGAAGAATTAGTCCTGCAGCCAAACGAGAGGGACGTGAACGCGTCCGAGGTGACACCAGCACCGGGGGCGACGTGTGGTTGTGCCTGTTCGGTGCGGGAGAACGGACTGGGGCCCAGGCAAGCGGAGAGGGCACACGGCTGTGTGCAGAGCCCGCGTGCTTATCGACAGGCTGTAGGAGATGAACGAGTGGGAAAGGAATACGCTGAGCAGGAAACAGGCGAACCTGTTGGAGAGAAGCTTTAAAGCGCCCCAAAACATCACGGAGAAACTGACAGCAGGGAGACACCGGCCCTGAGAGGCCTCCTTAGACATTTCACACTTCAGCATCGTCAGCGATAAGCGTGCTAAATGTTTGGGGTGCTGGCTGGCTCAGTCAGTGGAGCGTGCAAGTTTTCATCTTGGGGTTGTGAGTTCGAACCCTGTGTTGGGTGTAGAGATTACTGAAACGGATAAACTGAAATAATGCTAAAGTTTTGCCTGCTCTTTTTCGGTACGTCAAACTGGTCAAATGGAAAAATAAGCAAGAGTAGGTTCAGCCCTAGCAGACATGAAATCATATTGCAAAGCGTTGGTTATCAAAGCAGTGGAGTCCTGGTGTGTGATGCATGGTTATCAGAACCAACTAGAAAGTCTGGAAATTGACTCAAATGCCCACAGACACCTGGTGTAGGGTTAAGATGGCGTCTCAAATCGGTGGGGGAGATGGGCTTTACGGCGAATCACGCTTGGCAGTGGCGTAGCTCTCCAGAAGACGGACAGTTGTAGCCACGCCTCATCCAACACCAGGGGCATAGGACGGCCTTTCTAACCTAGCCTCAAAGTCCCGGAGCCGTGAAAGAAACAACAGTTACACGTGACCACATGTGGAAAACCGACAAAACTGAGGGGGGTAAAATACACACCAGGAACAAAGGCAGAGATGGCTGATGGATGAGCCATGACACTCGGTGAGAATGGGTGGGGGCGGTCTTGTCCTTGCTCGGCACCAGGAACGCTGGTTTACACAAGTGAAAGAATGAACCCAGACTGTCGCCTAACACCACATGCAAAAGTTAACTCAAAGTGGATCACACACCTACAACCGCAAAACTCCTAGGAGAAGACAGGAAAGCTTCGTGTTGGACTTGGCAGTGATTTCTTGGATGCCAACAGCTCCAGCAACAAAAGTAAAAAATAGCTAAATTAGGCGTCATCAAAATTAAAACCTTTTGGTCATCAGAGGACACGGAAAAGTCAACCTGTGGAACGGGAGAACATTTGCAAAGCACACATCTGATAAAGGATGAATGTCTAGAACGTCCAGAATGCATAATGAACTGCTGAAACTCTAAACAGAGCAACAACCTGAAGCAAAAATGGGCAAAGGGCCTGGACATTTCTCCAAAGTTATACCGATGGTCAAGAAAGATGTAAAAAGCGCCCAACATCATCAGCCCTGGGCCGGCAGTGGAAAGGAAAACCACAGCACACAGCTCGTCACGCCCGCGAGGATGGCTACCGCAAGAAAAGAGAGGAGTACTGGCGAGGTTGTGGGGAGATCGGAGCCCTGTGCGTGCTGGTGGGAGTGTGGAGTGGCACGGCCACCGTGGAAGCAGTGTGGAGTCCCTCGCGAGACGAGGCATAGAACTACCCTGGAATCCAGCAAGCCCCGCTCTGGGCACGAATCCAAAAGAACCGAAAAGCAGGGACTCTAGCACACCCGTGTTCGAGGCGGCGTGATTCACACTTGCCACGAGGCGGAAGCAGCCTGGGTGTCTGTCCACGGGTGCATGCGAGGTATACTATCACGGAATGTTACTCAGCCAGATGTTACCATGTGGACGAACCAGCAAGACGTGATGCTTCAGACACGGGAGGACAGACACCACGTGATCCACATATTTGAGGTCCCTAGAGTGGTCAGGCTCCCGGAGACAGAAAATAGGATGGGGGTGGGGAGTGAGTGGCGACGGACGGTGCTGGTGGGCTGAATGTGCTTCATGACGCTGCACCGTGCGCCGTAGATGATGATGTTTGTGTGTCATTTACCACACAGAAGAAGAAAACGTAGACAGGAAGAAAGGGGAGCACAGGCAGCTGCTCAAGGCCCCGGAAGGAAGTGCTGGTGAGCAACGTGCAAGTAACCAGCAGGCGGGCGGGCACTCGAGAGCAGCGTGAGCCTGATGGAAGTTCTGGAAGGTCTGGAGAGAGACGGAGCGAGGCTGCCTGGATCTTGGAGCCCCACCAGCTGCCCCTGCGGGGCTGGGGCCAGTCTGCACTGGACACTGAGGTCAGGAGATAACAGGAGCTGTCCCCAGGCCCTTCCTGCCCTGACTCCCAGCAGCTGGCAGAGGCACCAGGGGCGAGGCCCGAGGGACAGAGGCCAGACAGCAGCAACCTGCTCGGAAACCCAGTTGTCAGAACAGAGGGCTTCTTGCAGAGACGGGAGCTCCAGAGGCCAGAAAGAAAGGGAAAGGTTGGGGTGTCGGGCTCGTCGGTCAAGCATCCAACTCTGACACGCTGCACACAGCAGAGAATTGCCTTTTCGTCCCGTTGGACTTTAGGGAGTCAACAAGTAACAGCGCCCTCATCCCTCCTGAAGCCCTGACACAGGGCAAGAGTGGTGCTTGAGCAGGAGATGCCCCTGGGCCGGAGCCCCAGAGCGGCGGGAGCAGCCCAGGAGGAAAGTGGGAGGCAGCAGGTGACCAAGAGCTGACAGATGTCACAGTCACCTCTCTGCTGACGCCGTGCCCGACAGGCCATGCCCCTTCTGCCGAGCTGCACGCAACAGCTGGCAAGGACTCCGAGGCAAGAGGGCCAGGCGGTTCGGGGAGCAGAAAGCTTCCAAAGTGTTCACGTGAAACCCTGGGATCTGGAAGAGAGACACTCCCTTCCGTGTAACTTGGAAAGGGTTCTGTTTTTTGGGTTTTTTTAAATTTTTTTTTTTAACGTTTATTTGTTTTTGAGACAGAGAGAGACAGAGCATGAACGGGGGAGGGGCAGAGAGAGAGGGAGACACAGAATCGGAAGCAGGCTCCAGGCTCCAAGCCATCAGCCCAGAGCCCGATGCGGGGCTCGAACCCACGGACCACGAGATTGTGACCTGAGCTGAAGTCGGACGTTTAACCGTCTGAGCCACCCAGGCGCCCCAAGGGTTCTGTTTTTTTAAAAATACACTTTCAGCAAATCATACAGAGCTCTTAATAGATAAACAACAGA